GAGTGGCTGGTGAATTTGAACCACCAGCCTTCTGGTTAGCAGTCAGATGCCATAGGCACTACGCAACCAGAGCTCTCGTCATTTCTATTACAAACGCTATATTTTCCAACTACCAATACTTCTTTGTTTCCAACTTTCACATTCCAATCATCAGTAATTATCAACACATCTTGATTAGATGTTTATTCTATTTTGGACTGCAGAAGTTGGTAAAAATCTTCAATTTCTTCCTCTTTGGCTTTAGTGGTTGGTGCATAAATTTGAATAATAGTAGTTGTAATGGGTCTTCCTTGTAGGCATATAGATATTATCCTATCACTGACAGCACTGTACTCCAGGATAGATCTTAAAATGTTCTTTTTGACCATGAATGCTACGCCATTCCTCTTTAATTTATCATTCTCAGCAGAGTAGACCATATGGTTGTCTGATTCAAAATGGTCATGTGATAGTTGAAGATGTGTCAACTTGGCTGGACTCCAGTTGTGAGTGGTGGTTCCCATGATGGATCACATGACTGAGTTCTAAGCGGCCGGTCTGCCCAAGGGGAGTTTCCCCAGGGGTGTGGCCTACCTGCAATGCTATCCCAAGGACAAGCTGGAAGAACGGCATTCCGGACTATATACTTCCTGGAGCGAACAGCTCGCTGCTCGGCCTGGAGGTTTTCGGATTCATTCTTTGTTGGGAGCAGCGACCAGCGCGCTGCGTGTCAGCTTGATTCTCTTGGCTCTGTTGTGCTTACGGGAACCAGGCGGCTCCGGGCCTCATCCCCCTCCAGAGACGAACTTTGTGGCTTGAACTCCTCTGCCGTGCGTGCGAAAGCCAGACGGCTCCGGGCCCCATCCCCCTCCAGAGACGAACTTTTCAGCTTGAACTTGTCGGCTTCTACACGCTTGTGAGCCATTTATCTAAGATAAATTTCTCTCTCTCTCTCTCTTTCTCTCTCTATAAATATATATATATACTTTGCTGGTTTTTGTGTTTCTCTAGAGAACCCAATCCAACACAGGTCAATACCAGTCTGTTTCAGCTTACTATTGCTTATGATATCAATCTTTATATGTTCTATTTATTTTCTTACAACTTCCCATTTTTCTAGATTCATACTTTGTACATTTCACATTCCAATTATTAATAGATGTTTGCAGCTATTTCCTCTCACTTTGAGTTATGCCTCTTCAGCAACAGAAAGTCCAGAAACCTACACTCCATCCATGTCATTAAGGTCAACTCTATTTTGTGGAGGCAGCTCTTCCCCAGTCATATTTTGAGTGCCTTCCAACCCGAGGGGCTCATCTTCTGCACTATATCAGACAATGTTTTACTGCTTTTCATCATGTTCTCAGTGACCAATTTTTTCAGAAGTAGACTGCCACCTCATTGTTTTCAGTCTGTCATAGTCTGAAAGCACTACTGACCTGTCTGCCATGGGGTACCCTGCTGGTATTAGAAATACTGGTGGCATCACTTCCAGTATCACAGCAACAGGGAAGCCACCACAGTACAACAAACTGATAGACAGCAGTGTAGGATCATGAATATGTATACATTGTTGTTAGGTGCCATCGAATTGCCTCTGACTTATAGCAACCCTGTGTGCAATAGAATGAAACACTGCTCAGTCCTATGCCAGCCTCACAATCGTTGTTATACCTGAGCCCATGGCTACAGCCACTGTGTCAATCCATGTTATTGAGGGCCTTCCCTTTTTTTGCTGACCCTCCATTTTACCAAGCATGATATCCTTCTCCAGGGAATGGTCCCTTCAGAAAACATGACTAAAGTAGGTGAGATGAAGTCTGGCCATACTTGCTTCCAAGTAGCATTCAGGCTGCACTTGTTCCAGGACAGATTTGTTCATTCTTCTGGTAATCCATGGTACTTTCAGTATTCTTTGCCAACACCACAACTCAAAAGCATTCACTTCCTTATTCGTTGTCCAGCTGTCACATGCATATGAGGCTATTGAAAATACCATGGCTTGGGTGCACCTTAGTCTTCAAAGAGATGTCTTTGATCTTCAGCACTTTAAAGAAGTCTTTTGCAGCAGATTTTCCCAGTGTAATAAAATGTCTGATTTCTTGACTGCTGCTTCCATTGGTGTTGATAATGGAACCAAGTAATATGAAATCTTTGACAACTTCAGTCTTTTCTTCATTTATAATGATACTGCTTGCTGGTCCAGTTGTTAGGATTTTTGTTTTCTTTACGTTGAAGTGTAATCCATACTGCAGGCAGTAGTCTTTAATCTTCATCAGTAAGTGCTTCAAATCATCTTCACTTTCAGCAAGCAAGGTTGTGTTGTATGCATACTGTAGGTTGCAGGATATATATCACATATATGTGTGTTTATGTATATATGTATTGTTTATCTCTCCGTATGGGTCTATTGTTGTTAGGTGCCATCAAGTTGATTCCAACTCATAGTGACCTCATGCACACCAGAATGAAGTGTTGCTCAGTCCTAAACCATCTTCAAAATCATGCTATGTTTGAGCCCACTGTTGCAGCCACTTGTCAATCCTTCTGATTGAGAGTCTTCCTCTTTGTTTCTGACCCTTTATTTTCCTAAGCATGATGTCCTTCTCCAAGAATTGGTTCCTCCTGGTAAAGTGTTCAAAGTCCATAAGACAAAATGTCACCATCCTTGCTTCTAATGGGCATTCTGGCTGTACTTCTTCCAAGACAGATTTGTTCATTCTTCTGGTAGTTTGTGGAAATTCAATATTTTTCTCTAACACCATAATTGAAAAGCATCAATACTTCTTTCATCTTCTTTATTCATTGTCCATTTTTTGCATGCATATGAGGCAATTCAAAATCCACGGCTTGGGTCAGGTGCACCTTAGTCCTCAGTGTGACATCTTTGCAGTAGATTTACCCAATGTAATACATTGTTTGATTTATTAACTACTGCCTCCGTAGACGTTGACTGTGGATCCAAGTAAAATGAAATCCTTGACAACTTCAATCTTTTCTCCATATATTATGATGACGCTGCTTATTGGTCCAGTTGTGAAGATTTAAGTTTTCTTTATGTTGAGATATGATCCATACTGCAGAATGTAGTCTTTGATCTTCATCAGTAAGGGCTTTGAATCCTCTTTGCTTTCAGCAAGTAAGATCATGTCATCTGCATATCCCAGACTGTTAATTAGTCTTCTAATTAACATTTAATTTGATATCACATTCTTCTTCCTAGTCCAGTTTCTCAGATTTGGTCAGCATACAGATCGAATAAGTGTGGTGAATGGTTACAGGTAACATAAAGATAATATTAGGATTGTGAATGTCTATACCATTCATACCTTGAATTGTACTAGTTTAGGGATGTGTTTTATGTCTTTTGTAGACTAAAAGCTCTTAATAGCAGGATACACATTGTCAATGATCTTTTTCAAGTGGTACTCACTTTATGAGTGGACCTACTAGTGCAATAGTGCTTGGTTGCTAACTGAAAGATTGATAGTTCAAATCTACCAGCCACTCTATGGGTGATAGATGTAGCAATCTGTTTCTGTAAAGGTTATATCCTAGAAAATCCTATGGGGCCATTCTACTTCTATAGAGTTCTATACTCTATACTGTCCTATAGAGTCACTTTGAGTTGGAATGGACACATTGCTAACAGATTTTTTTTTTTTTTTAGTTTGTTCTCACCTTATAGCTATTTGTATGAAAGAATGAGTAGATTAAAAGAAACAATTTAGTGCATTGAACAAGCAAATCTGTATTTTTAGTTCCTGTCTTCAATATAAATTTGAAATAATATTTTCTTAACACATGATTTTACTTTTTGTTTGAGAAAGTTGGCAAATCCAATGGCTGGTTTACCCATTTGCTGTATTGCTTTCTTTCTCTCTTTTTAATAAGCTTTTAATATACAAATGTGAGCTCTGGTGGTGTAGTGCCTAAGGCATTTGACTGCTAACCAGAAGGCTGGCAGTTCAAACCCAGCAGTCACTCTTTGGAAGGAAGATTGGGCAATCTACTTCCGAAGTGATCCTGCCTCAGAAATCCAAGGAGGGGTCATTATGAGTCGGATCTGACTTGACCACAGTGAGTAAGATACAAATATTTTCAGAGTATTCTCCAACCTCAAATTCTCTGATATAGAGGTAACTTCTATGTGAGATTATATACCCAGCAATTAGGATTGTTGCTTTCTTCCTTTTTTTAAAAAAAAGTTATATTTGTTTTGTTGCTGTTGAGAACATACATTGCAAAACATTTACCAATCGAACATTTTCTACATGTACAATATATGACACTGCTTACTTTCTTCTAGTTCTGCAACCATTTTTACCCTCCTTTTCTGAATTATCCCTCCCCCATTAATATAAACTCATTGCCCTCTAAAGTTCCTTTCTAACATTTCAAGTTGCTGTAGTCAATTTGATCACATATAGATCTTTTTTTACTAGTTAAGCTGAGCTGTTGTTTGGTTTTAAGAAGACTTCAGGGGATATTTTTGGTTTAAGGTTTAAAGATTATCTTGGGGCATAGTTTCTGGGGTTCTATGAGAATTTAAAATTCTGTTGCACATTTTCCCCCTTTTTAACAGGATTATTCTATAGAGCTTTTGACCAAAATTGGAGCTGGTTATAATGTACCGACTCGATGGATCCAACTCATAGTGACCCCTCCTTAGGTTTCCAAAGCAGTATCACTACAGAAGTACATTGCCTAATCATCTTTCTGAGAAGTGGCTGGTGGGTTTGAACTACCAGCTTTCTGGTTAGCAGTCAAATGTCTTAGGCACGCCATCAGAACTCCTAATATAAGAGGATGAAACACACACACTCACATAAGTTTTAACAGTTAAATACATTTTTACTCTTTCTACTTAGTCTGAAATCTTTCAAGGTGTGTCTTGCATTTTGTAAATGTCCTTCTGCATTTTGCGATCAGCATATATTGCAAAGATCCATTTATTTCTTTTATATGAAACTTAGGTTATTCCATGTTACTGAACATTTGGCTCTGTGTTTAACCTGCAGATGATGGTGCAGCTGACAGTCGCAGAACTTATACTTTAAATGATTATTTAAAAAATACTTTTAGAGTGAAGTTCTATTCCTTACGGTGGATTTCAGGTAAGAATTTGGAGAAGTGCAGATTTTTATGCTTATGTTCATTCTAGTTATGCTGTGGGGAACATTCATGGCTCTTAGAAGATACAATTCTTAATCTTTAAGACCATATGAGAGGGATGAGTAGAGACAAGTATTGATTTGGGTGAAGGGAAAGGCAATAAACCAGAAGCTAGTGTGCAACACAATAACTCTAAGGAAAAGGAAGACACAGAGAGGTGCACAAGAGGTACAGACAACAAAGATAAACCCTTTTACATGTACAATACTGCAATATCTGTGTTAACAAGCATTAATCTATGGGTAAATAGATGAGTAGACAGGCTGAATGATCAGTTATGTGTAGGCAAAATGGAATATACCCATGTCCATATGTAAGGTTGGCAAATGATATTTGTATATATGTATTTGTATGTGTTGTAAGAATGTTATATAAGTAGAACTAACGGAGGGCAAAGTTAGGATAACTTCTTAGGCACAGTCAACCACTGCTGGAAAGAGTTGTTGGACCTATGGGATTGGGACCATGGTCACAGGGGACATAAAATTCAATTGGCATAATATACTACACAAAAGAATTGTTCTGCATCCTACTTTGGTGAGTAGCCACTGAGGTCTTAAAAGCTTGCAGTCAGCTCTCCTGTGCAGAGCAAAGAGGAATGGAAAAAAAAAAAAAAAAAGACTCATGAAAACAATTAGTCCAAGGGACTAGTGGACCATGGGAACCTCAGCCTATATGACCATGAGACCAGAAGAACTAGATGGTGCCTGGCTACCACTGTCAACCACTTGGAAAGAGATCAGTGCAGAAGGTCCTGAATAGAGTAGGAAAACAATGTGGAACAAAACTCAAAATCATAAAAAAAAACAAAAACAGGTTTACTTTTCTGATAGAGACTGGTGAGACCCCCAAGACTATGGCCCTTAGTTACCCTTCAGGTCTGGAATTGAACTCACTCCTGTGGCTTCCAGGCAAACAATAGACAGATGTATAGGGTGAACATTTACATCAGGTAGACACACCCCTTATACTTTAAATGGTTATTTAAAAAATACTTTTAGAGTGAAGTTCTATTCCTTACTGAAATAAGAAATTCAGGGAAGATTTCAGGGAAGAATTTGGAGGAGAAGTGCAGATTTTTTATGCTTATGTTCATTCTAGTTATGTTGTGGGGAACTTTCCTGGGAGAACAGAAGGACCTTATTTGAGCAGGGACATAGCTCGAAGGGCAGAAATGCATATGAAAAGACACAAAGAAGAGATAACTACAGGGAGGAAGTGGGAAGAGAGCTATTAAATTGTGGGGAATTGCAGTCAATGTCATGAAACAAAAGGTGCATGAACTGCTGTATGGAAAATGAATTTGCTCTGTAAACTTGCACCCAAATCACAATAAAAATTAAAAAAAAAAAAAAAAAGACCTATGGGGGAGTATTTTTCCTATTTAAGGATATGAAGGGAAAGAGGACAGAAAGAAAGTTTAGTATTTCTTTATTGTCATTGTTAGGCATCATGAAGTCCAAGTTAACTCCTTGTTGTTTGCCATCAAGTCGGCCCCGACTCATAGCGACCCCTCCTTGGGTTTCCGAGGCAGTATCACTCCTAATGACTCCCTATTATAGAGTAGAATTGCCCTGAAAAGCTGCTGGATAGGTTTGAACTGCCAACAGTTTGATTAACCGCTGAGCTTAACTATTTGCCAGCAGGGCTCCTGTTTCTTTGCTAGGCACTATAGAAAGTTAAATGTGAATTGAAATCTTGACAACAATGATGTCTCCATCAGTGAATGTGCATCAATGAATGCACACTAATGTAATATTCTACACTTAATATTATTCCAATGTCAAAATGTTTATTTAATATTTGAGTAAACTTAAATCTGAACTTTTTATTGCATAATTTTTAGCTTTTGAAGATGTTTAATAGCAACTCACAATATTGATCTGGGCTTTTTCTCTCTTTAGATCATGAATATCTCTACAAACAAGATAATAATATCTTGCTATTCAATGCTGAATATGGAAACAGCTCTATTTTCTTGGAGAACAGTACATTTGTATGTTTCATCACATAATTAATTCATGCTTTGGGAAAATACTGGGGATTTTTCTCATAACCTTTCAAATCATGAGTACTAATCCTGTTGGACTCTCTCTTTAGCATATGGCACAGTGGATCTTTCTCTCCTTGAAATGCTCCCTGCTTTGGCTCCTCTTCCGTCTCCTTTGATGAGCTCTCCTCCTCTGCCCACACACTTAAATGTAAGTGCTTCTTGGGGCTCTGTCCCCACTAGCTTGCCTCTCTTCTCACTGGGTATGCTTTCCTTTGCTGAATTTCCTCCACTCCCATGGCATCAACACTTGCCTTTATAGCTTTCATTCTTACAAACACTTTTAACACTAACCTCCTCCCAAGATCAAAACCTCCATTTCTGATAGCCTGCTGGCTCTCGCAAATGGATGGCCTATAGGCATAGGATCTCTATGAGTAGAAATTGACTAAATGACAGTGGGTGCTTGGTTTAGTATCCCAAGCTAAGCTCATGATCTCCTTTCCTCTCCTGTTGTTGTTGTTGTTGTTTGCTATCGACTCATAGTGACCCCTCCTTGGGTTTCCGAGGCAGTATCACTATGGAAGTAGGAATGCCCAACCTTCCTTCCGAGGAGTGGCTGGTGGGTTTGAACTGCCAGCCTTCTGGTTAGCAGTCAAGTGCCTTAGCCACTATGCTACCAGAGCTCCTAGCAAACCGAAAATATCTTATTCCTCTTCCTGAGTCCCCAATTTTGGTAAATAGTATTCTTCTCCAAGTCACTCAAACAGAAAATCACAGAATCATCCTTGACTCCTTCTTCATCAGCTTCTATGTTTAGCCACTCAACAAACCTAAGGAGCCTGCCTCTGCAATGTTAAGTGCCTTTCAGATTTCCATCTCCACTGCATAGTCCTGCTCCAAGGACTTGTCTAATCTTGGGGCAGTTAATGCTCTAACTTATGTCCCTATCTCCCTTCTGTATATTGTTGTTGTTGTCGTCACGTACCATGGAGTCGGACCTGACTCATAGCGACCCCTCCTTGAGTTTCCAAGGTGGTATCACTATGGAAGTAGATTGCCCAACCTTCCTTCCGAGGAGTCACTGCATCACCCAAGTCTAGAGCTAATGGCAACCGCTCTGCTCTCCTTTGTCAATTCAGCCACTATGTCACCACAGTATCTTTGTAAAACAGATCTGATCCTATCACTTCCATGTGCAAAAAATAGTTCATAGTTCCATTTTTCATATGTAGGTCCAGTTACTGTTCTAATTTTATGTCCTGTTACCTTCCATTTCATCCAACACACCCTATACTCAGATAACACAAAACCCTTTACCATTTTCTAAACATGCATATCCTTTCCCTCATATAGCTTTTTGCTCATGCTGTTCCCCTGTTGAGAAAGTCTTGTTTGTTCCTGGCCCTCATCCTCATGGCCTTCTTTCCTCAATTAGAATGTATACTTCCCTTCCAGTTCCCCAACACTGATCACCATACCCAGACACCATGGTTATTTATGTGGGGTGAATGTGCCAGCTCTCCTAGACTGACAGCTCCCAAGTCACAAGCCATGTGTCTAGGACAGTACCCACATGTATAGAACAGCACTCTCTAGTATATTCTCAATAATGTCAATTGAATTTTCAGCTTTTCTTCTTTTTCTTTGATTGACAGGATGAACTTGGATATTCTATACATGATTACTCAGTATCTCCTGATGGACAGTTTATTCTCTTTGAGCACAACTATGTGAAGGTAAAAGAAATGCTTTCTCACAATAGCATTTAATGAAAAACTGATTTCTAGCCTACGGATGTTTTTTAAAAATTTTTTATTGTGATTTGGGTGACAGTTTACAGAGCAAATTGATTTTCCATTCAGCAATTCATACATATTGTTTTGTGTGATTTGCAGTCCCCACAAGGTAACATCACTCTTTCCACTTTCTGTCTCTGTTTACCATTTCATTCATCATTTTTTCCTATCCTTACTGCTTTCTGAGCTTGATTCGTAGGCAAATTCTGTCCTTTTGTCTCCTAGGGTTGATTGTTGTAAGACGTGTGTGCCTCCTTGTTGCTATTGTTTACTTTATAGGCCTGCCTATCATTTGGCTGAAAAGTTGAGCTACAGGAGTGAATTCAATTCCAGGCTGGAAGGGTGTCTAAGGGCCATAGTCTCAGGAGTTCCACAAGTTTCTATCAGATCACTAAGCCTGATTTATTATTATTATTTTGAGCTTTGTTCTACATTTTTCTCCTACTCTTTCCAGGACCTCCTACTATGATCCCTTTCAGAGTGGCCAGCCATGGTAGCTGGGCACCATCTATTTCTTCTAGTCTCAGGATTGTGGAGGCTGAAGTTCAGGTGGTCCATTAGTCCTTTGGACTAATTATTTCCTTGTGTCTTTGATTTTCTCCACTCTTCTTTGCTCTAGACAGGGAGAGACCAATATTTTTTCCTTCACTTTTCTTTGCTCTGGACAGAGAGGGACCAATAGTGGAACTTTAAATGGCTGCTCACAAGATTTTATGACCCTAGTCACTACTTACCAAAGTAGGATATAGAACATTGTCTTTGTGGACTATGTTATACTGATTGACCTTGATTTCCCCCAAGACTATTGTCCTGGCCCCTAGGCCCAGCAACTAAGTCTATGGATAATTAACATTGATACTTAAGTAATATATACACTAAAAATTCACTAATTCAGCATCTAAAGGAAAAATGCCCATTCTCATTCATAAAAGACAAGCCCAAAGAATATTGTAAAAGAAATTCATTTCCACCAGTTCAAATATTAAAGAGTATAATTAACATTATATTATAGATGCTAATGATACAAAGTTGATACAATAAATTTTACAATAGACATTTATAATATGATTTAAAGTTAGTTCATCTGTCAGATTTGTACATCCAGTGATATAATTACTCATTTGCTTTGCCTCAGCTTTATATATAGTAAGATCTTCAATATGTATTTGTTTCAAAAAGAGTTAAACTTCCCATTCTCCAGAAAAGCCTCTATTATAAGGTAGTGGTAACATAGTGCCTAAGGCACTTGACTGCTAACCAGAAGTCTGGCTGTTCAAACCCAACAGCCACTTCTCGGAAGGAAGGTTGGGTAATCTACTTCCGTAGTGATAACGCCTTGGAAACCCAAGGAGGGGTCACTATGAGTCCAACTCAGCAGCACATAACAACAACATAAGGTAGTGAAGACTAGCTTCCTGCCTTCAGGCCCCACCATATACAAACCATTTTAAAGAGAGTAACCTCATTGCTGATATCATCAATGGCCTCCAGAAAGCACTCATCTTCCCTCAGTCATATAGCCCAACATCTATTTCTCAATATTCAGGACGGGGTAGCTTAATCACACATCCTCTTCATATTCAGGATGGATGCAAATGGCCTGTAACTTTAACTGCAGATTTTTGGTTTTTCATAAATTTGACAGCAGTTTTCCAAGACTGGGAAATGTGGAAGAGATTAAAAACCCTTATAAAGATGTTTTGCATTTTATAAATACAAAGCTGAGGACTCCCACCCCTGACTTTCTTTTCTTAGGATAAATAATATTGAATGGCCTTATCTCTTACATTAATGCTGCTGCACTCAGGCCAAGCAAACCATTTCACACTCCATTTACCATCTCCGGATGGTGGCTTTTGACCATAATATCTTAGATTCACTGTACTAGTCGTCATTTCCTAGATGTGAAGTCTCTCTGACTATGTTCAGTAAACCAATCAAGTATAAATGATTCAGAATTTTTGGTCAAGTTTCACATTTGTTCCCATTAATAAATTGTTTGCTTAATTCAGTGGTTCTTATTGCTCTCTATTAAAGAGATTTAAAAATTCCCAGTGTCCGGGTTCAATGACCAGATCAGTGAATTAAAGGTGGGGGAGAATGGTGAGGCTGGTTTCAGTACTTTTTTATTTAAGGCTCCAGATGATGCTAAGGAGGAGCCAGGGTTGAGAACTACTGAATAACCGTTGTCCTCGTTAAAGACTTTGACATAATAAGACTTTGAGGTTAAAGTGGAAACAGAAAGGTAGGTGCCAGCTCAATTTACTATTTAATAAGGTTAGATAAGTGCTATACTAATTGATGTATTCCATCTTGTAGACCTTCATTGGACAACCACCATTGGTGGTTTATATTTATTGTATCACTGGTGTTTACTTGTGTATGTAATTGCATTTTATGTTTTCTTTCTGCCCTCTCCCTCCTTATGACCATGATTAAAACTGTATCATAAATAATCCTTTTAAAATCTAGGTTAGATTACATCACTTCTATGCTTAAAACTTCCAGTAGCCCACTTAGAATAAAACACAAACTCTGACCGTGGTTTCCTCGGAAGCTTGTGTGATTGGGCCCCAGTCTGTTCCTCTGGATCCATTTCCTATCACACTCTCCTGCACTCACCATTCTTGACCAATAGTTTTCACTTGTACCAACCTTAGAATCATTTTGGGGAAGTTTTTAAACAATACAGATGCCTGTAGCCCACTAAACCAATTAACTGCACAGCTGTGAGTGGGGCACGGGCACAGGTCAATAGTACAGCTTCCCAGGTAATCTGATGACTCCAAGGTTGAGAATCTTTGCTCCCCATGCACTGCTTTCCCCCCGACCCCCACCCCTCAACCATCACCCATATTCTCAATTTAAAGGTAAAGGCATTTGTGATTTCATCCTTCTGTAACCTTCTCCCCTTAATCTTTACAAGATTCTCTCCTTTTAATTAATAGAGGTCGAGGCTTTTTTGGATTACTTTATCAGCTCCACTCATACCCCTATCTATCACTTTCTATCCTATTAGCCTATCTTTGTTTCTTCATAACATTTTTGTGAAATTATATTTATTTCCTTTCTAGTTTATTTCCTGTCTTTTCTACCAGAATGTTTTCCTGCATTTGACTCACTTCTATACCTCTAGCACCTAGGACAATGTTACATAGTGGATACTCAACCATGCCTATTGAATATATGTCTTCCTGTAAAGGATTAAATTATAGGATTACTGAAAACAACTATATCTTCTATTTTCCTTTCTTACCTCCCAGAGTATCAGTACAGCCTGAATGTGTTGATTAACCAACCCTCAAAAAACATGTCCAGACAAAAATTTAAAAACAAAACAAAACAAATGTTGTTACATTTCCTTGACAGTCCAATATCTGACATTGTTTAGATCCTACTACGTGACTTCTCCATGACTGAGTTAGTACATCCAGAATGATCAGTGTTTATTTCTGAGTTGTGGCTATAAATGAGTGAGTAAGGGAATAAGTGAACAACAGTATCATGCAGTCTAGTGTGGACGCTCTCCTAGCATCTTCACTCATTGTCAAATGCTCTAGAGATAATAATAATCACTGTCATTGTCAATTACATGTTTCTAATGTTCCAGGAATGCTACTAAGCACTTCATGTGCATTCTCTTGCACCTGAGACTGTTGCTGTTATTACCTCCCATTTGCCTGAAGAGAAAATTGAAACTTAGAAAGAAAATTTCCTTGTATAGCACAGTGGAGACTCGAATCCAGGTTATGGGATTCCAAAGATTGTGTTCTTAAATAAGATCTTTCCTGTCTTTATGCTTCACTCTTGTCTACAATGCTTTCTCTGCCCAGTCCTCTGCCACTGAAATTCAACTCAAGAATCACCTTTTCCTAAAGCCTTTTCTCCCTTCCCATGGCCTAGTCCCTGCCTCTCCCCACCCACCTCTATTATATCTCTTGGCACGGCTTATTGTAATTCTTATATTTTAGTTTACTTTTCCATATCTCCCACTTAGCTATAAGCTCCTCAAAGAGAAGAACCTTATCTTATCCAGTAATGCTTGACATATGATAGCTGCCAATGTTTATAGACTAAATAGATTGGTGAGCCTTTTTCAAAAGATGAAGTGAACATACCAAATATCTTGGGTTTTCTTTTACAACTCATGGATTTATCATCCTGAAATAATCTCAACCTTTCTTAAGCCTGTTTATATATTTAGCCCATAACACACCTTTGGGCTCTAGCCAAACTCAACAGTTGTCCAGCAATAAGAATAGGGTGTGTCAAAATAATCCAGGAATTAGAAGAGAAATCTATGGCTTTCAAAAACTGGAATTTAATAAATGTGTTGACATGAAAGAGTAGGAAGGTGAGAAATGATTAGTGGGAAGAATTCTTCAAGGTTAAGAGCCCTCTAACTTTGTGTCCCAGCACTGTCATTTTATATGGGTACTTTGGGGTTACCTATTACATCTTTATTAGAAAATAAAAACAATAAATTTGAAATTTTATTTAATTTGGTTATTTCTCCAGTATTTACAGATGAACAAAATACAATCTCTTATCTCTCAGACTTAACAGCAGTATCATAAGACTATAAACAAGTAATTTCTTTTAAAATATCTTAATTTATACATGCATAATTTTTCATAATGCAAATATCAATCATATACCTATTTTTTTTAACTGCAAACTTTTCTTCCCTTTTTGCTTGGATTCTTACTTCTCATCTGCATCCCAGATATCCTGTGTTAAGAATGTAGTGCATATCCCTCTATAGTTTATATTTTTCTCTTTATTCATATGATCTATGACAGTATATATAGGGATTCCTTTTAGCTATTGCTTGTTCTATAAAAAGGGAGTCATGTTTTACATACTTTTTCTTATTTTCTTACTCAATCATACCTTGTGGAAATTTCTCTTAGCCATCTGGCATAGCTCTAACTCATTTT